TGGGGGTGGCTGCTGCGATGGGAAAGCCAGTCAAGTCCCAGAGGAACTGCTACTTCAGCAACCAACGGTCGGGGCAGCAATCAGTCCCACCCAGCTAGGCCCCGCCCAGGGGTGGGGTCCGCAGCAGCCGCTCGAAAGAAGAGCCTAGTGGCCACAGAGGTGATTCACGCCCAAGCCCCTAGAGAACAGTCTTAGTCACCGTGTTCCCGCCTGTCTTTTGTCCTTAGTCAGAGCCGGCTCTTGAAAGGCAGAGTTCCTTGTTAGCAGCCCTAGGTGTCGAGACCCAGCCATCTCCTCTAGTTTTAAGCGGTTCATTGTGCCTTTGCCACCTGCAATCACCCTGCCAGTCCCTGCTTAAGGTATAGTGGAGTTGAGGGAGTCAGCTGACCATTTGCTGAATGAGACAGCTTGGGGGGTGGGGAGGACCCCAGTGGGGCAGCTGAGACAAAAGCTGACCACAGAAAGGGTGGGCTTGCAGTGACCATGTCCTGAATGCTCTCTCAGGGCTGGTAAGATGGTCCAGGAGAAGATAGTCAAGAGAGCTAGGAGAGCCCCAGCTCTCAACTTGTACAAGCAGTATTTCTTAGAAGTTCTTGAATATGCCTAGATTCCTATTGTAGAGGGTCTTGACCTACTGCAGAGGAGGCCTGGTAGTGTGGTGGTTATGCGTGGGTCGGCTAACCACAAGGTCACCAGTTTGAAGCCACCAGCTGCTCCGAGTGAGAAAAATAGGACTTTTTATTCTCAGAAACAGTTACAGTCTCAGTTCTACCCTGTCCTATAGGGTCACCATGAGGCGGAATTGATTCAATGACAGTGAGTTTGGTTTGGGAGGCTTGGGGTTGACCTACTACGCAGCCCATGGGTGGTACGAATGATAAAGCATTTGGCTACCTTCTGGAAAGTGGTGGTTCAGTTCATTCAGAGGGATCTCAGAAGAAAGGCCAGGCACTCTGCTTCCAAAAGATCACAGCTCAAAGCCTATCCTTGATGGACCGAGAGCTCTGTGGAGCACGGTTTTCTGCTCCATGACGCGTGGCGTCCCCTCGAGTCAGGACCAGTGAGTGGTCCACCTGCTACATCCCCTTCCTTACTCTCTGGCTCCCCGCCCTGCACTCTGGGTTTCTCTGTAGGGAAGGGTGACCTAGATGGGCCACCACTCATTCCAAGGCATTCCAGGCTCTTGGGGAGCTAGGAAATTGCTCTGCCCCTCTGAGCTTAGGCACAGGTGTTTTTAAATCCCCGGAGCATCTAATTCCTTTCCTGAAGTGTGTAACCACTGGGGTTTCCCATAGGAAAAGGACTCGCTCCGTTCATTTCTCTTAAAGGACATGCGGGGCTGAACTTCCAGAGCCAGGCCAGGCCAGGCAGCCTCCCCCCCTACGCACACTGCCATCTGAAACCCGTTTCGGGGTGGCTGATGAGTCAGATCTGGGCTGTGCAGAAGACCAGGGGAAGGGCGTGGCTTCCGCTGGCATTCCTCTGCCTTGGACTTTGCAGCATTCATGGCTGCTCTCTCCCAGAGAAAGCTGCCTGCTAGATGAGTCACACCACATTCTGCAGAGTAGCATTCTCCAGAGTAGCACATGCTTTTTGGCTCAATGCTTCCCGTGCTTTTCTGAGGATTAAGAGGTAGAGCACATCTGGCAGCCAGCAGGGAAAGCACCTCTCAGGATCCTGTCGGCAAACCTTCCAACCTGTGTTCAATGTCAAGTGGTGGGATTGAGTTGTTGCAGGGGAGTGAACAGGAAGCGGAGGAGGGACTGGTCTCTTATTGATTTTACTTAAATTCTCCTATTTCCTATCCAGGGGTGGTTTTAGGTGATGTTTGTCAAAGATTTCTACTCTGGCCAAAACTTTCCTTCCAAATAAGCTAAACTTCATTGCGCTCCTGTTAAGTTCCAGGCACTGGGTGCCTTTGAGATGCCAGGCCCCCAGGTCATTATCCCTGAATAGAATGAGTGGGTGGGTGTCCTTTCTTTTCTTCAAAGCCCTTCTGGTGAAAAGGTCTTGCTCTCCAACTTCACCCCAGACTTGACCTCTTCTATCAAGGGATGTGTACAGAGCTAGATATCCCTAGGATATCCCTGTTATGTGTACAGTGTGGAGAGAGAGAGAGAGATTTCCCTAAGATTTAGGATTTACTGCTACTTATACAGTAGATGATAGATAGATAGATAGATAGATAGATAGATAGATAGATAGATAGCCCTAGGCTTTAGGATTTACTGTTACTTGTCCAGCCTTGGAAACCCACAGGGACAGTTAGTTCTACCCTGTCCTATGGGGTCGCTATGGATTCGATGGTAATGAGTTTGGTTTGATTTTGGTACCTTCTCAAGTGAGCCTTCTCAGGGCTTCTTACATTTTTCTGCTCTCGACCCCTTTCTGTCTGAGAAATTTGCCACATGGGCAAGCAGAAACACCTCTGATTCATTACACCCTGGATTTTGAATCGATTTTTGGTCATTGTGCACACAGAAACCCTTTACTTCCATCAGATTTTTCATGCCCCCCACATTCAGTTGCCCGCAGTTTAAGAAGCTTGGAATGGGCTGGGCTAGCTTTTATTGGGGTGTGACTAATTCATTTTACTACCAGAGAAGCAAATGTCCTTATCAGAGTAAATACCAAGTGCAGAACTGTATTGAAGAATACCAGAGGATATCGAAAAGTTTTGGGGAACATCCCATTATCTATTTTCTCACAAACCCTTGGAAGCCTCTTGGTACATATTGCAGCAGATTTATAACCTAATTTCTAAATCCTAGGATCCGACTGTTCTGGTGAGCCAGGGAAGCCCAGAGCTCGGGCTGGGTGGGCTGTCGGTACACAGCCATGGATAAGGCCTATTACCAGCACCCCCACCCCGGGAATGATGCCACATCTGTTCTCTCGGTTGATCTATCAGTGAAAAGAGGGACACTGCTCTTTCTGTGCCCTATGATTACACTTTTTATTCATTACATGACTTATGCAGAATTCACTGGCAGCCAGATAAATCCCTCATTCAAAGCACCCAATACCTGAGTTGTCTATTATCACCAGCAAGAGATCCCCGGGCGATGGTGAACTGGTTCTTGCCTTCATTGAAGTGATAAAGGACCAAAAGGATCACCGAGCCCCCCCTCCCCCACCCCGGTGACTGTGGAAAGGCTGGTGGTGCATGTGGTCGACAAGTTTCCGTCAACCCTGCTTGCTGACATTCTCTCCGGCCTCCCGCAGACCTCGCCAAAATGCCGTCTCAAATGGAACATGCCATGGAAACAATGATGTTCACGTTCCACAAATTTGCTGGGGACAAATGCTACTTAACGAAGGAGGACCTGCGGGTGCTCATGGAGAAGGAGTTCCCTGGATTTTTGGAAGTAAGTGCTGCCGGGCGCGGGGGTGTGGGGGAAGCAATGCTTTTAGACCCTGGTGCTTCCCCCTTTTCTTTTTCCATCCCTTCCCTGGGTGGGTGGGTCCCTCCGGGTGGGTCCCTCCCCTCCTCAAAAGGTCTCTACTCCTGAAGCATAAATAAGTGCCTGCTGTTCTTTGTAAGACTCAGGGTGGAGAGACATGGAGACGCAGTTGCTGCCCTCAGGGAGTTTACAAACGGCAGTAGAAAGCAGACACTACCTACAAACCCCCGTACTGGGTGTTTGATAGGAAACCACCGTCCAGTCACCTGTGTCCATTGTGATGACTGGGACTGGGAAGAAGGCTTTCACAAGAGAGCCGTCAACCAGGCAGCTGGCTGCACAGAGGTCCTTGAACCTGAGGGGCCACCTCCTGCTCACAGGCTGTGTTCAATGGCTTGAATGCCCCTCTGTCAACCCCTTCAGATCAAGGGATTCCCCACCCCCACCCCTCAATTCAAATCTGTCGAGAGTCAGTGTGGAGGACCCGCTGAATGAGAGCCACGCTGCACCCCCAACAGTGGGAGCAAGCGAGCTCAGGAGCGCGGTGTGAGCCGAGGCGTTCCTGTTAGCAGATGGAAGAGAAGGCCGCGTGAAGACTGGAGGGGGCTCCACGGAGACACAGCACTCAGGATATTAGGCCACGAGGCACCGCTGGCCTGTGACAAGGGCTCCACCCCCACCCACCCCACCCACCCCACACACAGTTGTAAGCCAGTTGGACAGAATACTAGATTGGCATGTTAAGACTTTCGTTTCCTGCCACACACGTGATGGCTTTGAAAGGCTTGTTATTCTGCAAGGACTTGAATCATGCATTAGCCTCTAACCAGTGAAGGGCAGTGACGGGAAAAGGCAGGGCCCCAGGGCCCCTGGTCATCCTCCCTGGCAATAGCACATGGGTAAGCCCTGGCGTCTGGGGCCAGTACACAGGGGGCTTTGTGTTGCAGTGTGATGTGCATCTCATCCGTACCCGGTAACTAAGCGAGTAACAGGCAGCCTGCTTCAGCGATGCAGTGACCATGGTGCCCTCTCCAACGGAAGGTCCGTGGTTCCAGAGTTCTGGGAGCTAGCCTCCCGAGTGCCCTGGTGGTGTGCTCAGGCACTGTGCTCAGCTACTAATCGCAAGGTCAGCAGTTCTAATCCACCCCGAGATGCCTCAAGAGACAAACCTGACAGTCGTCATTGAAACGCCTTTGGATCGCAGTGGGCTATGGGCCAGAGGGTCTGTTTGAGCCAGCACCCACTCGACAGCAATGCCGTTTGTTTATTATTGTTTTTAGCAACTAGTTTTTTAAGGATGCAGCGGCCCCAGACCAGGAGTCAGGGATCCAACTCTGCCCTAAGGAATCCAAGGGCCCTCGTCGCTTCAGCTCTCTGTTTCCTCCTCTGTAGTGTGAGCGAGCGAGGGGCAGGGCGTCATGATCCCCAAAGCCAGTATAAAATGTCAGGACAGAATGTCCTGCCCCTAGGACTGACTGCCCCATGAAAAGAGGCTTTCTCAGAACATTACACACACGTGAGGCACGTAGTTGTTTAAGTGACCAGCAAGGATGACTGTCATGGACAATGGGGTCTTTCTCCCCAAGGGCTCAGTAGCATGGGTAGCATCCAGAGGGTCGGAAGCGGACCGCGTTGGAGACAGCGCAGTAGTTGACTCTAGGCACAGCTCCAGGCCCACCCACACTCACTGTCCTGGCTTCTAAAAGGGACCCCTTCCGTCATCCAAATGTTACTCATTCTGACCACTGCCAGGAAGCTGAAGGGGTGGCCAGAAGGAACCGCCACCCACCGAGAGCGGAGACGGCTATCCGGAGCATGTGTGCGGCGCTCCTTTAGGGTGGCGATTTGCTGCTGACCCGTTGTAGGCACGGCTGCTGCTCAGCTTGATCATGCAGCTGATCAGTGCAGTTCCATCGCTTGGTAGCACTGGCCCTGGAATTCATAAGCTCTTCATCGGAGCCCTTGCACAACCCCCAACGGGCCATCCCTCCCTCTGCCGTCGATGACATGGGCTCATCGGAGAACCCACACTCTTCCCCTCCCAGGAGAATTCTTAGAGATACTAGTCCAACCTCCTCAATTCATATTTGATAGCACTAGGGTCCATGAACCTGTGTACCTTACACAGGTCACATGTCACATGCGCTCAGCCTCAGCTGTGCCAAGGAGGAATAGGACTTGTCTCGCCCTCTTTTCTAAGCCCCAAAACACCCTGTACTGGCTTCAGGAGCCCAGGAGAAAACGATCGAATCGACTCATTGAGATACAGGAGGCTCTCTGCTCCCATAAAGATGGATAGTCTTAGAACCCCTCCGTAGGGTGTGTTATGGGTTGGAATCAGCAAGGAGCTCATTTTGTCTCATTCGCTTGTTTTTGGTCAGGGTGAAAGTTTCAACTACCATGTGGGCAAGCAAGGATGGTTCTTAGGCAGAACTGGTGCTGTTTTAAATAGTGGCCCAAAAAGACTGAGCAGTCAGCAGACTGTGTTAGGTGCTACGTGGAAGAGCTCCTGGATTCCAACTTCGGAGAGCAGCTTCTGCAGTCTCCTCTCCGAGCGTTCTGAAACTGTCCGTGTGTAAGGTGCCGACCGCGACATGAAAGAATGTCACAGGGACCTCTCTTCGTCGCTTCAAATAAATGTGCATTTGCTGACCGTGCCCACAAAGTATGGAGATGCGTCTAAATGACCTCCCCACACCCTCACGAACCAGAGTTCACATCAGCAGGGGACTGTCCCCGGGGTGGGCAGCATCGCAAATCAAGTAAGCTCATAATGCCGCCGCTGGCTGACGTTTCTCGCCTTTGTTTCAGAACCAAAAAGACCCTCTGGCCGTGGACAAAATAATGAAGGACCTGGACCAGTGCCGAGATGGCAAAGTGGGCTTCCAGAGCTTCTTTTCCCTCATCGCCGGGCTCACCATCGCCTGCAACGACTATTTCGTCGTCCACATGAAGCAGAAGGGAAAGAAGTAGGAGGAGGCAGACTGGAAGGATCTCTCTCACCCTGACCAGAGGGATCCCAAAGATTTGCTTTAAGGGTTCTATCCCACGGCTTCTCCCCTGTGAGGATTGCATGAGCGGGCTGGGGCCCTTTAGGATGACATGTACACATCAAAGCCAGGTCCCACCTGACAAGTAGAGAAAGGAAAGTCAATTGCATGCCAGATAAGCTTTTGGTTTTTACATTGTTTGCGTCCTCTTGCCCACAATAAACAAATTCCTTTTTTAATACCTAACCTGAGATAGAATGTTTGTTCCATGAGACATGTGTCTACCCGTCTCCGTGTCTCACTGAGCCAGCGTTCCCCGAGGGCGCCACACACAGCAGGACTATTCGCGAACCAGCAGAGGGAAACTCTCTCCATGCAGACTTGGATTCTAATTTCTCTCATCGATCCCACTTGGTAGCTGGGGGTTTTTTTGTTTGTTTGTTTAATGTTTTGTTTTGTTTTGTTTTTTTAATTGTCATTAAGTTGATTCCAACTAATGGTCGCTCCATGTGTGCCAGAGTAGAACTGTCCCCTCCTAGGGTTTTTAATGGGTTGGAACTAGATCGCCAGGAGGTTCTTCGGAAGCATACCTCGGTGGACTTGAACCTTCAGCCTTTCCGGCTGGCAGTCCAGGCCTTTAAGGACCAAAATTCCAACTAGTTAAGAGAAGGCACTGGTCCAGGTCCTTCGTTATTTTGTCCAAGGCCAGAGGGTCTTTTTCTGAAAATTACATTCTAATTGCATACTTACCAAACACTGCCTTACCATGTTAAATCCCTGCCGTTAAACCTTACATGCCTGAGATATCGGAGTATAGTTTTCATTGCAGTGTTTTAACTGAGTCTAGAGCAAAAATAAATAAATCTACTAAGAAAGCTAGTCAAGAAGAGAAAGCATCTCGTGTGATGACCCACCACTTTCAAGTCCATTCCTGCGCCGAGTGACCCACCCCGTAGAGCAGGGTGGAACTGCTCTGTGGGGTCTCAAAGGCTGTAAGTCTTCATGGGGTTAGACAACTTCATCTTTCTCCCAAGGCGCTGACGGGCCGATGCATTTGAACCACCGACTTCTCAGTTAGCAGCTCAGCACACACTGCACCACCAGGGCTCCTTGTATTATTAATGCCTCCTTCATAATGATCACATCAGCCAGGAGTGGTTGTGAGATGCCGTCAAACCAGTTCCAACTCGTAGGAATTCTGTGTGGAGCAGAGTGAGACACTGCATGGTGGTCCTGCACCCACCCGCAATGGTTATGTTTGAGCCCACCGTGGCAGTCAGTGAATCAATCCGTCCTCTGCTGCCCATTTTCCATGCCTGGAGTCCTCCTCCAAAGTCTCATGGTCCTCACTTCCAAGGAGCGATCTGCCTGTTATGACTTCCAACACAGATTTGTTCAATCTTGCGGCCGTCCATGTATATTCAGTAAACGTCACCAGCCCCGTAACTCAAATGCATCAGCATCGCCAACTGTATTTGTTGTCCAACTTTAACAAGCACAGGAGGCGATGGAAAAGACTGTGGCTTGGGTCAGGTGCAGCTTAGCCCCACAGTGAAATTACGCAAAGTAGTATTACGCAGTAGGTTTGCCCAAAGCAAGATGTCCTTTGATTTCTCCATGGCCGCTTCCATGAGCACTGACTGTGGATCCAAGCAAAATGAAATCCTTGGCAACTCCAATCTTGTTTCCGTTTACCATGAGGTTGTCTATGGTGTGCGGATTTTTGTTTTCTGACCAGAGGTGGGGAAGAGGCGGTATCAACTCATCTTCACGGTGAGCATGTAGATCTGTTAAAACACACACACACACACACACACACACACACAAAACAAACAAAACTGAAGCACTTGTAATAACCAGTTCCCTGCAGATCCTCCTGACTCTGAGGCCTTTGGAAAGGTACCTCATGCCAGGGAG